TTTACATATAAGTAGATAGAATCGTTTGCGGTATCCCACGCTTTTTCACGATATCTTGCTTAAATAAGAGTCCGGCATCCACTTCCCACAGATTATCAGCTTTCTCCTGAAGCGTTTTGGCACGGTATTTGCCGCGGGCACAAGCCATCAATTCGGAGCCGCATAATCGCGACAGACTGGAAGCTACTACCGGCGCTACCGCAATAAACCTTAGCAGAGGCCTAACACCAACAAAGAATCGTGACAGTCGGAAGCTACTCCGAGCACCAACAACCGAGGTGTACGACGCACGCCCGAGACAGACTGCAGAGAAGGCTGGGCGAAGCTACGACGCAGCCGTGTGGTAGTCATGAAATCTGTCGTCTAACAGCAACAACTACGCAGGATTTTCAAAGGCTCCGAGATTGGCACTTAAAAAAAAAAAAAAAAAAAACAGGTTACGTAGGACCAAGAGCAGGCAGCCGCCGAGAGAGATTGTGGTGGAGGGGGTGAAAAGTAAGTGGCGCTATTTTCTGCACTGTGGCTTCCGTGCCAGTTTCTCCATTTTTTCTTTCCGCTCCCAGTCCACGCCGCCTCGTACCTCGGCAGCCGCCCTATCGAGTGAAGCCAGCGCTATGGCGCGTAGTTCGAATTATCCGCGGCGGAACCTACTTGCGTTCGAATTAACGGGCCTTTTTATTCATAGGCTTGTATGGAGCTTGGCCGGACCAGAACTTACAGTTCAAATTACCCATAAATTCGAAATATTGAAGTTCGAATTAACGAACTTTCACTGTAGCTCCACTGAGACCAATATAGCCGTTAGTAGCCACATCAGGTGCACACGAGAGGCCGCAATTCGATCTTGAGGTGAGCCGTTGGTCATTTCGAGTCTCAGAGTGGTGGTGTGCATGTCTTGTAGCTCCTTGGCGCCAAAAAAGTGTTGGTGTCGCTTGTAAAAGGAAAGCTGTCCTCTCCGCAGAGCAGTCGCCCAACATGCACGCTAGGTGGGATCCCGAAAGTGGCGAAAAAAAATCTGTCACTGGAGGGGCTGCAGCATGGGATGACATCACAGGAACTTTGTGCACTTTTTCAAGGGGAGACACGGGTCTTAAAATTTTCAGCTCTAAATTCTCAAAATAAAAAATGCTTATGCGATATGCATTTCTCACAGCTGAAAAAATGCACTTAGTTTTCAGCTGTCATTTCCAGATTTTAAAATATGAACCGGTTCATAAACTTGGATTCTGCCTACTGTTTAGACAGCTTTCTCATAAAGGATTCTTGAAAATTAGATATGGCAGTGTTCTGTAAAGCACAGGGAGTTCAAGAAAACCATAATTTTTTTTAGCTTCACTAGTTCAAGAGTTGTGGCCTTAACAAGTAGGGTCTCCCGAATTCTGAAGCTGTTTAATTATATCACTAATTATAGTACTGTTATTAATAAAATTATAATTCTTTGGCCTTGTTGCACTCGTCAAGGTATAAGCTTTCAAACGCTGCAAGAATTATCAAAATCAGACCACGAGATCAAAAGATACTAAAGGCAGTGGCTTCAGACTCCATAAAAAATGTTTTGAAAAAAAAAAAATTTAGGACACGGTGAGCATGTATATTCAACAGGTAATGGTGTAAATCAGTGCAGTAATCATGCTAGAAGCAATCAGGAGTGTAGCAATTGCCCGTGCGCTTTTTATTGCACACCAGACGTTTTCAGGGTTTCCATATTTCAGATTGGCATACAGCGTTGTGACGGTGCTCGTGCAGTTGTCAGTATTGTGCACGGCGACCTCTACAAGGCAAGAATCATTCCCACTTTCACGTAATCTTTACATGTCCTTGCATCTCCATGAAACAATCAAGGTAATAAAAATGCATTTCAGCACAGTTTGTCCGTTTGCTGTGCCGCGCGAACCACGAGCACGTTGATCTCAAACAGGCCGCGCCACAGCCAGCGTTTTCAGTGTTCTTGACAGCAGAGGGGTTAGCCGATAAGATGCTGCATGCTCTCGGAAGCCGTTCTCGCTTCTTTGCGAACACGTGAGCAGTACAGAACTTTCGATGACCACCTGCCATCGCCCAGCCATCGCTGAGGTCTAGTCACAAAATGGCAGATTGTGCACCGCTGTCTAGCAGATGAATCCCTTGACATCCAATAGGGAGCCAGGAACTGCCCCACGTGATAGAAATGCACCAATGATGTGTAAATGTTTTTGCTTTATTCGCGATAGCTGCATTGCTGCAAGATTAAAAGCGTTCTTCCACTAGAAACGGACAAAAGCAGAATACGGCTTTAAAGTGAGACCAAAATGGCCGCGCTACTTGGCATGGTTCTCAGGCGCCGCGGCGTCGAATGTGAACGCTTTTGAAGCGGTTTCGCGAGGGGAAATGGTCACGAAACAGGCAACCAGATCGGATTACTCTACAAATACGCATTAAGTGGCAATAGCGTTTTAGGAACACCTTCAGGCACTACCGTATTTACTCGCGTAATCCTCGCACTCGCATAATTCTCGCACCCCCCACATCGCCCAAAAAAAAATATTTTTTTCTCGAGTAATTACCGCACCCCCGAAAACTGCCGCAATAATGTCGTCTGCTCATTCCAGCCATTGATGATGGTAGCGCGCACCATCTGGCGCCATCTCTTAAGCATCAAACGTATTGCATGGAGATCCAATCCAAGCCAAGCCGAAGTGGCCAGTGCACGTTGCGGCGTTTTGTGTGTTGTGTCTGTAATCTTGGCACGTTATGGGGCGATACTGAAGCCACACGGCTGCTTCAAGTTGCAAGTGAAGGCCAAACTTCATTAGCGCGAAAATGCACGCGACAGCGACGAGACCTAGATCGTCTTCATGCGATCAGTCGCTAGCGCAGGCAAACCTCATTCACGCGACGGCTTCGGCGACTTCGCGAGCGAATTCCACTGTTGCTGGCATGAGGCCGTCTACTCGCACCAAGGAAACCGCGTAGCGAGCGGTGTGCAATTTAAAAATAAGATATATTGTTGTGTGTAATAGAACGGAAAGTGTTTATTATTGCCTTGCAGCACTTTTTTATATGCAAATGCGTAATAAACATTGCGTTATTTCTTGTTGCACATACGTGACTCTGGTAGGGTCACGTGAACCTATGTAGTCTGTCTTTTCCGGTTTTTCGCTATTGGCTGCTTGAGCCCAGCACTTCCAGGCGATGAGCGACGGTTTCCAAATCTGGAGAACCGAGCGATCGCGTGAAAACGAGCACGCGACACGTCGCGCGAACGCCCTGTTTCGTCGCTGTCCCGTGCATTTTCGCGCTTATGAGGTTTAGCCCTGATAGATCATGCGCTAAACAACGGCAACAGGGCTGCCGGTAGGCCCTTCGGAGCGTACGAGTTTTGTGTTCGCTACTGGTGACTGCAGCTAAAAGCCACCAAGACGCGTTGGGCCTGCCGTGTGCCTAAACTGGGATTGATGGTAAACTTTATTTCCTCAGAAGGGAACTGCGGCACCGTGCTGCGGACGATTCTGTTAAATAGCCATCAGCCCAATACCGACGTCCTACGCTTACTTTTTGAGGGCTCCCGTTGAGCGCCGACCGTTACCTCAACGCCCACAAGCTTCGCGTATGGTATTCTAATTCTCGACTATTTGCTTCCATTTTTCTGTCTCAAATCTTGCCTTGTGTTGAACCTCCGCTTTTATTGTTGAGGTAAGTTCCAATTAGTAATTCTTGAAGCTTGCTGTAAGGTGCTTTTGCGAGAATTCCGATTTGCAGCTACTTCGTTTTCTTTTGCGCTCTTCGAGTTTTCGTAGAAAGTTTTCCCCGCGTAATTCTCGCATCCCCCCCCAACTTTGCATCCGTTTTCCGGCAAAAAAAAGTGCGAGGATTATGCGAGTAAATACGGTATATTGTTTTAAAAAAATACTTCAAAAAATAAATTTTTTGGAAATTTTTCGGCCTTCAAGCTCCGTGTCACCCCCTGAGAAGTGTGGCACATTCAATGCCGCTTGACGGCACTGAAGATCGCGCTCTGAAAACTACAACAAAGAAGTCAGCGACGACGACTCAATGATGTAGCATCTTTACGATGCAAATAACTTGATTGGTTTGTGGGGTTTAATGTCCCACAAACCACCATATGGTTACGAGACGTTTTAGTGGAGGTCTCCGGAAATTTCGACTACCTGGGGACTACCTAACGGGCACAATAACTAGAAGCAGTGCGAAAAAAAAAAAAAAAACGCAGCAGGACTAGCGGCTGCGTGTTTATAGAGATTTGTTTTACCAACCAACTGCTTTGATCTCCATGTCAAAAAATGTTCTCTTTGAGAACGTTTTTGCTGTTGCGTTAAGTCTACATTTGCTGAATTTTATTTCCCCAGGCTTCGAACATTTGGGAGTCTGCCTAGATTTTGAGTAAATTTTAGCACAATGAGGTATGGACAACACTGCAACGAGGAGCTCTATAAAAATTTTAGGCAAATAGTGTTTAAAGACATTTGAAAAAATGAACTAACATTTTTTTTGTCCACCTTTACAGCTATGCATGCCCACCTGCATGAGCTGACAAACTGAACATTGTGCAAAGATGCTGCTTCAAAAATTGAGGTCCCTAACAGGCCATGAATTTCTAAACGAGATGGAATGATAACTCAATGCAAGACAAGGAATGTAGCATGAAAGCTATTTCGATGGCTTAGTCATCTGTTACGTCGAAATGTACTTTTATCCCTATGTTTGAAAAGCCACAACGCAATGAAGAGTTTGTGCTGTTCGAATATGGATAAAAGTTTGTTTCCACTTGAGGGTGGGGGGAGCTTGCTTGCTTGGCATTTTATGGCAAGCAGGGTTTTTCAGAAACTTCCTAGGCCGTCCATTCTAAGTAGAGGTATTGCCATCCTGAGAAATGAGTGCAATTAAGCAATACAAGACCCATCACAGAGCAGCTTCATATTGCTAAATACGTAGCTTACCACGAAACTTTTATGTAGTCGAACTGGTACATTTACAATGTCTATTGCGGGAAGAGTACTGACCAGAATGAGCTCGAAGAGGGTGCCTTGGTCCACCTTCAGGAAGTCTGCATCCCAGGAGGAGATGTCATCTGTGCGCTTTTCCTTGTTCTCGTCGTCCTCTGGTGGGGCTGGGTCATCCTTGTGGTATGTGGCCCAGTGGATTACCTTCTTGAGGATGGCCGAGTTGACATTTGGCAAAGGGACCACCTCGTCTTCATCATCGTCCATGCCCAGGTCTGCAAGACGACAAAGGAGCGAGACGTATGCAACAAAGCGAACAATTTATTTCCAAGCTCTGGAATGGGCAACCACATGCACAAACTTAATGGCAGAATTTTAACAAAAACACTAATGAGCACAGTCATTCGTAGTGTTGCCTAGTGAAAGGCTTTCATTTCTTTGTTGCAATCCAGCTTGAGTTGATTGAACATTTTACCAGACTTGACCACCAATGGGGTGATGGAGCACACAGGGTGTCTAACAATTTGCGTTTCCGAAATTCCCCAGACTTTCCAGGTTTTTATGATGTGAAGTGAATTTATGACCCTTATGTCTGGAAAACTGCTCTGGACACCGACTCTCGAGTGATAGAAAAAAATCGGACCCACCAAAAAATGTACCACAAGTGCCGAGCACGTGTGGTAAATATAAAAAAAATATGTATATCTGGCGAAAATCTGCGAGAGAGAGAGTAAGCAAGTTATCTGTTTAATATTTGGAAGAAGCAGAAGGCAAACACATGAGTTAAAATAAGCTGCAGCAAAAAGTTCAAAGAGCCCAGGACAGTGCCACAATGCTAGAAAACTTGGAAGTGGCACCATCTTGTGACATATGTAAAAGGAGGACGCCGGAGCGCGGTCGGTTCCACCACTGGAATATATTATAGTTCACTATAATGGTTACAGCTCGGGCCACTTAGGATGTGGATTGGACTAGACTGACCTATATTTACAGAGTCAATGGGGGCCAAGGGTCTTAAAATACCACAAATTAAAGAAAAAAAAAGCCGGCTTTCAAAATTTTTAATTTGAGGTATTTATAGGCGAAAGTATATTCTGGAAAAATTTTATTGTATCGCAAAATACCACTTATTTTTGTTAAAAGGTTAATATACAAAATTGTGAATGTTTAAAACTGAAAAGAATTTTCTTGCATTGTTATTTTTGTTAAGTGAATGTGCCAAGTCTTGAACAAGGTTCTGTGAAGACTTCTAAACAAACTTGGTACTATTGTTTCAGCAGCACTTGAACTACAGGCTAAAGCTTTTCTTTTTCTCTCGACCTTAAAATTTTAATTACATGATAAATACTACTAGTTACTAGCTCAATATTACCTCCCAAGTTTAAAAATTATTTCTAATCAAGGAAGTTTCGACATCCAGTATGCTTTAGCCTGTTGGATGAACCTTTTAGAGGAAATATGTAGTATTGAAAACTAACTTTTTCATTGAAAGTTACCACAACGGCCGTAAAAAAATTACATAAATATAATATGAAAATTTGCAATTTTTTTTTTCTAAACGAGATTTGAAATATGTTTGCAGATTTGAAATCTATTCAACGGTACACATGCATGGTATTATGATAATAGTTTTTTAGACCCTCTATTTAGGATGGGGATTTGATCTGATGTGACATACTATTGAATTCACATCTCCGCCCAAATTGAATACCTCTAATGTATACTTTCCGGGGAAATACAACTACTAGTGTATTCTGTGCACCTTACATTCAACAATGACTAACAATGGGGAAAAAAGGAGCCTTGCCGCATAATTTTTTTTTCAATTTTTTTTTCTTTCCACGACGAGCACATGCATGTTTTATTTCTCTGGGATGCCTGCAAGGCTGAGAGTAGCGTTTAAAGATGCGACGTTTGAACATGTGCTGGCAAGAAGGAATCCGCCGGCACTCAACAGCGCTCTTGATTCCGTAAGTTTATGCCAGCTAGTTACCTTCGTTTGTGTACTGCTTCCAAAATATCTGACTTGCGCTTACTTACGTGCAAACAGCCTAATCGCTGTGATCTGTTGACGCTGGTCACCATGGACGCAAAAAATCAGAACTTGGACTTGGCAGCCAAAACAGATATCGCCAGGCATTTCTCAGAGTTTGTTGAGCATGAGTCTGCGGAACAAAGCCGATGTAATGGCATAGGCCGCCCAGTTGTGCAGTTCTAAGGCTTGCAGCATGCATGCGACCATGTTGGGAAAGTGCTGTACGCCTGGTTCTTGGAAACTGGCTAAAAACTATCCCCATTGATGGCCTGATAATGATGGAAAGAGCAAAGAGGTGTGCTGCAGTCATGGGAGTGGACTACTTCACTGGTGGCAACGGCTAGCAGGAACACTTCAAAAAAAAAAAAACGTTGCAACACTGTTAAAAAGACCCCGTCTGGCAAAAGAGGATGTTCAGAGAATGATCAAACATTCGTGACAGCTCTTTGCCGTTCGATATTTACAATGCCGACTAAACAGTGCTGTTCTGGCAGACGTTGCCGAAAAAGACAGACTTGAAGGGGACTTTCCATCATAGTGGTTAGACGAGTGAAGTGCCTGTCTATTCTGCTCACAGTGGACATTGATTGTTCCTGCAATCTGGGGCTGTTCCTTATGGTGCACGAATGAACACCCGGACATGCTGTGTACAAGACTGCTGTAGGATTAAGACTTGCCGTAAACAATATGGCAGAGATCGTGCACAATGTGGGCACACGCAAACAGACATGGCAAACAAACAAGCAGGCCCTAGAGCTCAATGACAATTAAAGCAGGTTTAGTTCAAAGGAGAGAGCAGGAGCACAAGATGGAAATAAAGAAACTGCAGAAAATGGGGGACCCATTGAGTAGTACTTAAACCATAGGAGGCTTACTATGACGCAGTGCAAGTATGTGAAAAATAGGGAGAACTCATGGTATTTAACGCAGGATATTAGAGCAAGAAGCAGTAAAGCTTGGATATTTAAACTTGCATAAGCGGGTGCACTTATTTCTTACAAAAAGGCAAAAATGAAGATAAAGGGTTAGATGACTGCCATCTCCGGACATGAAAGCTGCTTTCTCGTGCCTGTGTTCCGATTCAGGCCTTTTCATGGAATAGGTTTTTCAAGAGGCAGCCATGCTAGTGGCGGTCAAAGCTGGGGCTCTAGCCTGTTAAGCCTCAAGTCGAGAGCCAGAAACATGTAAACATAGCGTGCCACAGTGGCAACAAATGTTTTATTAAGCAGAGTTGTCCATAAACGGATAGAAACAGAGCTGCAGAGTGCAGGACAGATCTAGTGACATTAAGGGTGCATAATTTGCCAGCTGCGTGTCCTGATGGGTCACGTTTTGAAGTAACAACGGCTCAAACGTTTTAACAACCGAGCAACCCGTTTGAATGAGTGAGCATATGCGCCTGCAACTAACCCCCCCCCCCAAAACCTGAAAAAGCGAGCAACCAGTGCCCAGTGGGAAACCAACTACTTGTCTCCCAAAGACCTGGGCTGACCACTCGACAAACTAAATCGTATTGGGTGTAAAACCTCCATTGCAGCAATGCGGACAAGTAAGTTCACGTGGCCGAGAGGCCTACAGTATCAAAGGAACTTCAGGTGCAGCCACGAAACAAAGAAACTGCACAGGCTTTCAGGTGACTAACGAAGAGAGAACGGGTCAAGCTTTTGAAGCATGCGCACACAAAGCCATGGTCGCAGCAAACACTGCCTAATCCCCGTATTCAGAAACGCTCCTCAACTTGAACATCACGTGAAACCGCCTACCGACAGCGCGTTCGAAACGCATTTGTGCTTATTGAAGCCGGTGGCGAGTCAAGCACCGTTTCTGAATACGCGGGAGAGTTCTTCCACAACTGTGCGACCCCCTACAAGCAACACACACACACACACACAAAGCCTGCGGCGGTTCGGTGGTCTACTGGCCCGCCTCGAGATATTGAATGGGTACGCGGCTTCCACGCCGACTACATCGAGTATGAACGCGTCACCCGCCGGATGACCACACAAACGAATAAGCTGCAAATACACCCACCTTCAAGCATGGTCTTGATGGTGACAGATGCCTTGGCTATTTCGACGTCAACGTCGAAGACTTCCCCGTCGGAGCTCTGAAGCTTGATGTTAGGCATCTGCGAAAGACCAAAACACGGTTGTAAGACTGGGTTATCTTTAACATGAAGTGAACTGAAGGCAAGCAAGCGCAGCGGTAGGGAAAGCCGCAGTGTACGCCGACTTCTGTGTTACGATCAACAGATACGCGTGGTAAAACAAACACGTGGATTCAGTTTACAAGTCAGCGCGGCCATTAGCACTAGCGCTGTCAATGACAGTCATTGTACGGCCTTCGAAGTGAATCGCAAAGTAGCCCAATTTAGACAGCGTGTTGCAATATCGGCGAGAGAAAAGGAAATTTCCGCAAAGCAGCGGCCATGACAGCAAAATAACTGCGTCAACAATCGAGCAAGAAATGCAACACGTCAGGCCCGCTGCAAAACGCCCGAGCTGGGACGGTTAAAAAATAACTCCAAACGCTGAAATGTCGTGCACCGCACTAATAAACGGTATACTTAATGAAGAAGCGCCAAGCCATTCGGCGAGAAGCGACTAGTAACCCACGCATGACAAAAGCCAAACAAATGACTTCCGAACAGCGGCAGCGTTGAAGGGACAAGTGTTAAAAGACAATGCTGCATAGGATAGAAGCCAGGATAGGACAAAGGGGGCCTACTATACTATACCGCCTACTATACCGCACATTTAGAGTAAACGATAAAATGGCTGAAGACTGCACGCGCAGAGAAGCGCACGAACGGGTGTTCCAAATCGGTAGGTTAGGCTTAAAAAGGAAGCCAACAAATGAATCGCGTCACTGCACGAAGCCTACCACCGATAAGATACCCCTTAAGACCTGTAAAGGCATAATGCAACACTCACGCTGAACTGCAATGTCGTCTCTACCGACCTTCGGCTAATTTACAGCAGCACGGCTTCGACACCACTGCAACACTATCGGCGACGTTCGAAGTGGTTTATGCAACCTTCGCAGCACGGCTGCCCTCTGCTGGCTGAAGGAATCACTTCCAGTTTCTACCCCTCTCTGCATAATGCCTGCCCACACTGAAGCCGAAAAAAACAGGCTAGAGAAAATGACATAAATGACGCTACTTTCTTAATTTTAGTAATAAAAAAACTAATATTTTTGTTGCTTTAAAATGTTTTCAAGTATTTTGTTTGCAAAATGAAACATTATTTGCAGTATATCAAAATAACAACGTCTAAAAACGTTATATATACAGCATTTTGGGTAAGAACACAGCGCCAGCACAATACACATGCCATGTACATGCCGTGCACTAATGCCCCTTACGCAAATAGGAGTTATAGCACAGGCATTACAAGTATATAGTAGGGTACACGTGCTTTCTGCACGCATCGCTTGAGCCATTCTCGGCGTTGTCGTCCTCGGCGAACAATTTTACAATTGCCAGGTGCTTCGCATAAAAACAATGATGAACAAACGCGGCACTGCATACATAGACATTAGTATGTTTAGATTGTAGACTAGAAGTGCCCAGTTTTGACGTGCAGGAATAATGTTTTCGTTATATATTTAAAGCAAAGCAAGCCAAAGAATATAATTAAGTTTTCTTTAGCACGTTTGTGTGCGCGCCAGCAGCCTGCGAGTCACAGAGGAAGCTTTTAAATTCCTTTCTCCACGCGTGAGGTAACTACAGCCACTGGGCCCGGCTTGTACGCTTAGTTTGTTTGGAACACGTGGTTTTGTTTTTTGCCGCGTTTGAAATGTTCAGCTGCAAGCTGGCTTCAAGTTCTAAACGCTTCCTCTCTTATTTCTGTGACTTGCGGACTCGAACTGTGTTCACAGGCAGGTTCATTCCTCAGCCGTACGGGTTCTTGAAGGAGGTCAAGTCAACATACAGCAGGTTGTTGGAAAAGTCATTGTGGTATGGAAAGAATGTATTCCTGTTAAATGTGTGCTAATTTTTCATTGCTGCTGCGTGTGAGTTACGTTCAAAGGTAAACTATCGTCAATAACGTGAGTACAAACTAACCCCACAAACGTAGTGTTGTGGAATCCTAAAATGCAGGCTATTCCCGTGCACATGTCTAGAATAATTACAAAGTTTAACCTTTGCAGGTTGGCACATGTTATGTTATATGCTGCCACATTTGGCAAATTTGGATTTCCTGTCTATTCTTCTGAGTTGCAGTGCGGAATGCTTGCTCCAGAAAGCATGCACCAACTGAAACGAGGGTCACCTCCTGGAAAAGCGAAAGGGAAGCTGATGACAGCCAGGGGATGTGTCCTTTAACGCTCAAGTGAACGTCACGGTGAGCTATGAAGGTGGTCGAAACAGTGGCTGTCACTTGCAAGGAAGTCCTGCAATCAAATTGGCAACTTTTCAGTGCTACGCTAATGGTGTTGCCGCTCTTTGCTTCTCAGCTAGCGAAAGGCAAAGGTGTCCCTGGGGGAAGAATAGCTGCTTTGCTATTGTCAGTGTGATGCACAGGAAGCATAATTGCCGAGCATACGCAACAAATTGCTTTGTGACACTAGAAACAAGCCGGATATCGCAATTTTTTAAAGTTCATTGGTGCGTGCAACTTCACTAGCATTCCAGTAACCTGAAACAACTAAGGAACTGCAGACAGTCTGTAGAGTAGCCAGTGGGGGTACACTGAGCCCATGCTCCGCTCCTCCCCGTTTTGAAATTTTGTTTCGCCATGGCACACGGAGAGCAAACTTACCATTTGCTTATCTGACCCCCACTTTAGGTCAAGGGGCTGTTTGCCCCGCGCAAAAAATATTCTTACCTGCGCCCCTACAGCCAGTGCTTTCTTTAACAACCTGAACAAGAGGACTACCTATGGAGTACTTCAAAATAACCACCTAAAGGTGCATGTCACTAGTAACGATGTAGGAGCAAAGAGTGGTCACACTGTTAAAAAGCTATGAACTGAGTGAACTTGGGCCCTAAATAAGGTGCTTCACTTAAGTCGCAAAGCAATAGTGGCAAATGGAGCAGCTCAATCTCCATCCATGGATTAAGTGTGTCGTCTATCTGAAAGGGTTTAGCCAGTAAAGTTTGCGTGAAAACACACAGCACTATTAAAATCTCGTGTGGAATCCAACAAGACAAGACGCTCTGATGTAGAATGATGCAGCAATATTCAATAGGTTACTCGTGTAACGTACTGAATCAATAAACAATAAAAATGGTAATACAGTAGAAAATGGGAACTTATAAGGAAAACTACGTTATGAACGAATGACGGTGTGAACTCTTTAGTGTGGATCGTTATTCATTCACTGTGATGCTGAACTAACTAGCCCACAAATAAGCCTTAAAAAGGCCCTGCAACAGTTTCTCAAGTAATCATTACATGACCTCGTTATCAAAGCTTATTACCTCATGAATAGAATAGGGGGGATAGTGTCTGTTCAGCTGTAAGAGTTCTGATGACATATTTATTTGTATTTGATATTTACGGTGACCTTCTTGTAGAAGTGAGATTATTGCAAAATTTTATTGTCTGTATTTTGTTGCTGGAATTATTTTTGTCTGTGATACTTTTCGCACTACTGAAACAGAATTTCATAATATCTGCGAATTCTATTATGTATTCGCCTTTATTGCTAGGCAGTGGAGAACTTGTGGGGCTGATCACCGTCGATTTATGAAAAAGTGTGCTCTGCACGTTGTGTGATACGAGCATGGTGCATAATCCAATGTGGGTTTTCAAAAAGCGACCTCCTGTGTTTTTTCATCTGCTTTCTGCAGTGCTACAATGTGTATTGCTGAATGCCGAGACGAACGCGGAAAGAACTGTCGAAAGTGGTCCACGACAACCATTGGTCGGCGAACTCGCTCACCAGTCGACTCACTCGGACTCGCTCAGACTCGGATGGAGCTGTGAGTCTGACCCCGTATTCACAAACGCTCCTCGACTCGACTTTCACCCTTCACTTGACAGAGTTGAGCACTGCGCCACAGCTTGGCTCAAAATGACACTGCGCTAGTCAAGAATCACAGCAGATTATCGCTGATATGCAGTGACTTGCCGTGCCTGGAGACAGTGCTTTGATTTATTTATTTTATTTATTTATTTACATACCCTAAGGACCCGGGAGGGCATTACATAGGGGGGGATTAGGAAGATTTTCAACATGTGTAACATTAAATATTCAGAAGCATCTCTATATAAAGCTTAAATGGAAAAAAAAAAGAAAAAAAAGTACACACAACAGTGGTGATAAGGATAATAAAAAAAACATATATAAACTCTGCAGAAGAAAAGGTGCGTTAATAAAAAATACAATAGGCTCCAGGTAACAAGTGTAGACGCGAATAACACACACAAAAATATTCAAGTAATTCACATAAACAACACCACCGCATAACTACATTGATCGATTGGAACTTCCAAGAACACTTTTACAGCTTTCAGAAAGGATGATGATTCTGTTAGAGTGGCTACATCAGCTGGCAAGGAATTCCAGTTGGTTCTTGACAGGGCTAAGGGCGAGTTTTTGTATTTTTTGTTCTTGGGAAGATGGGATTAACTTTGTTAGGGTGATCAACACGGGCTGAAATGTGTGATGGCGGGAGGATATGCTTGCGCGCAAACTGGGAGTTGCTGTGGAAGAGTGAGTGAAAATTAAATAGCCTTGCAAGTTTACGGTGCGTGGCAAGGGAGGGCAGATTAAGCGATTTCAGTATGGAACTTACGCTTTCATATGGTGAGTACGACGACGTTATGAAGCGCGCAACTTTGTTTTGAACTGATTCAACCAGGTAAGTTAAATTTTCAGTGTGAGGGTGCCATATTATTGAAGCATACTCCAGCGATGGCCTTATCAGGGAAACGTATGCATGCAGTCTAGTTTCTTTGTTGGCAAGGTATAAGCGCCTTTTGAGGATGCCAAGTTTTTTTATTGCTTTAGTAGTGATATGTTCAATGTGAGTGGTCCAGTTTAGATTGGCTGTGAAAAATACCCCAAGATATTTAAACGATTGTACTGAATCAATTTGAATGTCATTTATGGTGTATGACTTAGGCAAAGGGATTAGAGCAGAACTAAATTCCAAGTGCTTAGTTTTCCCTATATTAATTTCCATCTGCCACGTGTCGCACCACTCGGCCAGCCTATCGAGGTCAGATTGTAAAATGGTATTATTGGTAGGGCAAGCTATTTCTTTGTAAATAACGCAGTCGTCTGCAAATAGCCGAATTTGTGAACTTATGTAACATGCTATGTCATTAATGTATATTAAGAACAAAAGAGGGCCAAGAACCGAGCCTTGGGGAACACCGGATAAAACGCTAGTAGGGTTCGAGATGTACCTAGCTATTTAGTTTTACAGATTGGAAGCGGTTAGTAAGAAATTCCAGTATCCATTGTGTTGTATTGTTTTCAAGCTTCAGATTGCGAATTTTTAGTTCTAAACGTTTGTAGGGGACCCTATCAAATGCCTTTGAGAAATCAATAAATATGGCATCGACATGACAGGAAGAGTTAAGCGCAGAATGAAGGTCAGTAATTAATTCGAAAAGTTGCGATTGACATGAGAAATTATGACAAAAACCATGTTGGTTGTTTAGGAGCAAGTTATTTAAATTAAGATAAGCCATTATATTTGTGAATAGGATATGTTCGAGAAGTTTGCAACATATGGACGTCAAAGAGATTGGTCTGTAGTTATTGGGCTGAGTATTATCACCAGATTTGAATATTGGGATTATGTAAGCAGATTTCCAGTCCTCTGGTAAGCAACTGGTATCTAAAGATTGTTGAAAAATTAACGCGAGCAAAGAGGCTGAGAAGGGGCTGGTTAGTTTTAAAAGCTTAGCGCTAATATCATCAGGGCCGGGACTGGTTTTAAGAACTGTGATGGGAGAAAATTGAATAGAGATAGCTAGCTGTGGCAAATTTAGGTTGCTATCGAGCGGTCTCTCGATTGTGTGAACTTCATAAAAAAAAAAAAGGCTAAGTTTTTCAGCACAGCTGCCTAAGCTCAGGGTGTTGCCATCCTCTCCACAGAGTGCTGGAACCGGCTATCATTTCTTGG